ATGTCACAGTAGACTTGGAAACTTTGTTAAACTCTCAGGGAATCTGTTCACTGACAGGCTTAGGCCAGTGAGCTGTTCTGCTCCGTTGGCTCCCTAACTGTTCACTCACCGGGAACTTGGAACGCGGACTGGCATACAGTCAGCTCTTGGTCAGCATGAGTGTGGCAGGAGGTAAACCAAGTAGGAGGTCCCTTTTCCCCATAAACCTCCTGTGAAAAGGTTTCTTCCTCAGCCAGGACGGTGGAGTAACTTCCAGAATGTTTCCTGTCTTCGAGGATTTGGGGGCCTGATAGCCCCCACACAAACTAATCCCACAGATGTAGACATGGCAGGTTCAGGAACTCGGGGCCCTGCTCTGTGCCCAGGGCGCGCTCCTGCAGCTGTTTGCTCTGATTTTCCATCACGTCCTTTGTTTGGGTTTTGTTTCCATCTGCCTCCTTCTCCTCAAAGCTGCATATGCCCCCCATTCTCTTGCCTGGAGGTCTGGTTCATGAAGGCCTTGTCTCCAGTTGGATCTGGTTTCCTGGTGGTCAGGCTTCAGTTCAGTGTTAGTGGTACCCTAAAAGCTTGTGAAGGCTTCTGAGGAAATGCTGGGGTTACAGTGGGTTTTCAGAACATTGCAGCCGCCCTGTTGGAGGCTCACTGTCAGGTCCTTGCGGAGGGGTCCTCATCGTCAAGCAGAAAGCCTCCCCCCTCTGCTTTTCCCCGTCAGCACACCCTAGACTTGGGCCCAGAGTGACAACAGGAACTCGGCGTGGTGACGCTTGGATCAGGGGTGACTTGGGAGTTGGTCAGGCCTGGAGTGGTGCCAGGGCACAGGGGACTGTGTGCAGGCCCAGGGACCTCCGGGGTCCCAGCAGAGGGGCGTGCCCTGCAGCCTGAGCAGGGTAGTCGGCTTCGGATCTGCCTTGCTCACAGCCTGTCCTCCGTGAGGCCAGATCTGTCACCAGGCACGGGCTCTCGGGAGGCTCCCACAGCAGCGGTCACATAGGTGAGGCCACCAGGTAATGGTCTGCATGAGCTGGCCCGGGTTACTAACTCCTCTCTCTAAAGCAAGCATAAAGAATATCCACCTCAGTAGAATAAAAAGTCCAGAAAAAATCCTGGAAACATAGGAATTTAGAACACATCAGAAGTTACTTCACATTGGTGGGGAAAAGATAACTCATTCAAGAAATAGCCTGCTGCCTGGAAAAAAATATCAAGTGGACCCTTAAATCTTATGTCAAAATAAATTTGAGGTAGATTAAAGATTGGATCTGGAGAAGGAAATGGCACCCCACTCCAGCATTCTTTTGCCTGGAGAATCCCATGAACAGAGGAGCCTGGTGGGCTATAGTCCATGGGGTCGCACAGAGTCGGACACGACTGAGTGACTTCACTTCACTTCAAAGATTGGATTATAAAAAATGAAACTGAAGTTACAGGGAAAAAACTGTGGAAGAATTGTTTTAAAAATCCCGGAAAGGATTTTCTAAGCCTGATGGAACTTTAGAGGAGCTCCATGAGAAAAGTGGGTGTGTTCCAGTGCAAGCAGATAGGTTCTGCTTGAACATAGCCAGCATAACAGTTCAGGAACAATGACAAACAGGAAAGACAGGCGCCCGACTCTTCATAGCTAAAGGGTTAATTTCCTCACTGTGTAAAGAATTCCTGCAGATCAAGTGCAGGATAAAGTAATTCCTGAAGCAGCAGCTGTGGCTGCTCCCAGCGCCAGCCCAGAGCTGCATGGACACGAATATTGGGCTGAACTCTGCCCCACAGGTCACTGGTGCTGTCTGGGCCTCAGCTTCTTGAGCTGTTAAATGGGGTAACAGTAGTCCCCATTATTCAGTAGTTCAGCAAGTGCAAAGCATGTCACACATGGAGGGGGGGGCAGTAAGTGCTGTGTATGTACTTGACATAAAATATGAAAAGATGCTCGAGCTCACCTATGAGTGGACTGATCTTAAGACATGGTGAGAAGCCATTTCTAAACAGCTGTACTCATGAGAGTACAGATGTCTGTCAGCCTTCTAAACACACATTACCCTTGCCCGAGAAATTTCTTTTTTACCCTTTTTTGAAAATTTAAAATCGAAATATAGTTGACATGTGATATTATATTAGTTTCAGGTGTACTACCTAATGATTTGACATCTGATACATTATGAAATGATCACAGTAAGTCTAGTAACCGTCTTGTCACCGTGCAAAGTTATTACAATATTATTGACCATGTTCCTTAGGCTGTACGTTATATCCCCATGGCTTATTTATTTTGTAACTGGAGGTCTGTACCTCTTAATCCCCTTTACCTGTTCCCCTCCACCTCACCTGATTCCCCTCTGGCAACCACCTGTTTGTTCGCTTTATGAGATTTTCCATTTTGGTTTGCTTGTTCATTTTTTAGATTCCACATATAAGTGAGATCATACCATATTTGTCTGTTTCAGCATAATGCACTCTGGACCCCATCCACACTGTCACAAATGCCAAGATATCATTCTTTTTTGAAAGTATGGTTTCATTTATTTTGGCTGTGCTGGTTGGTGGTTGTGGTGCACAGGCTTCCCCCAGTTGTGGAAAGGAGGCTACTCTCTCCATGTGGGGTACGGGCTGTGGGGCACTCGGGCTGCAGTAGTTGTGGTTCAAGGCCCCCAGAGCACAGGCTTGGTAGTTGTGGCTCACAGGCTTAATTGCCCTGTGGCGTGTGGCATCTTCCCAGACCAGGAATCAAACCTGTGTGCCCTGTGTTTGTGCAGGCAAATTCTTTTACCCACTGAACCACCAGGGAAGTCCCATTCTTTTTTTTTTTTGGCTGAGTAGTATTCCTTTGTGTGCATGTACACCACACTATTCATCTGTCAATGTACCGATTTACAGTCTCACTAGCAGTACATGAGGTTTCCCTTTTGTCCACATCCTTGCCAATACTTATTTGTTGTCTTTTTGATAATAGCCATTCTGACAGGTGTAAAGTGATATCTCATTGTGGTTTTAATTTGCATTTTCCTAACAATTAGTGATGTTGAGCATCTTTTCATGTTGTCTCTCGGTCATCTGTGTGTCTTTAAAAAATGAGTAGAGGATCTGAATAAAAAAATTTCCAATCAGGTTATTTGGTTTTTTAAATATTGATTATATGAGTTCTTTGTATATTTTGGATATTAACAACCTTTATCTGATACTTTGTTTGCAAATATCTTCTCCCATTCAGTAGATTGCCCTTTCATTTTGTTGATAATTTCTTTCACTGTCTGAAAGTTTTTTAGTTTGATATAGTCCAATTTGTTTTTTTTTTTTTTTGCTTTCATTTCCTTTGAGAACACAGATCTAAAAAATATGGCTAAGTCTGATGTCAAAGAGTGTACTCCCTATGTTTTCTTCTGGGAGTTTTATGGTTTTAGGTCTTATATTTGAGTCTTTAATCCATTTTAATTTTATTTTTATATATGGTATGAGAAAGTGGAACAACAGTTTTGATTATTTTGCAGGTAGCTGTCCAGTTTTCTGGACCATTTATTGAAGAGGCTGTCTTTTCCCCACTGTATATTCTTGCCTTCTTTGCCATAGATTACATGACCATGTAAGTGTGGGTTTATTTCTGGGCGCTGTGTTCTGTTCCATCAATCTATGCATCTGTTTTTGTGCCAGTGCCATACTGTTTTCATGCAACTTTGTGGTATGGTCTGAAGACAGGGAGTGATACCTCCAGCTTTGTTCTTTCTCGAGAACAGTTTGGCAGCAATCTCTTTTCTTGATAACCACCATAGAATGATGCACATAGAGGGGAATTTGTGCAGCAGCACTCGTAAAAGCAGAAATTGGAAGCAGTCATCCTTCAACACGTAACTAGTGTAAAAATTTATAATATTCACAGTTTAATAAATTTATAATCATCCATGACCTGGATGATTATGCAGCTTTAAAAGAAAGGACAGGTCTCCATACACTGATGCAGGGTGACCTCCTATATATACTCAGCAGTTAAGAATAAGGTACTGAACAGTGTGTACAAGAATCATTATTCATGCAGGAATAAAGTGTACATGTATGTAGGTGCCCAGCTGGGGTCTGGAGGGATATCCAGGAAAGTGGGCACCATTGGTCTTGGGGGCTGGGGCTCTGTATCTGAGAGACAGGCAGAACCCATGACTTTTCGTGTATCATAATCTGAAAGAAACCCTATCTTGTGACACCACTGTGAGTAATTAAAGACAGCATGATAGGGATTAGGAGTGGTGAGTGCAGTCAGATCATCTCAGATCCTAGCTCCACCACAAGATGTGTGACTTCGGATGTGTTTCTGACCTCTGTGTGCCTCCGTTTCCTTCTCTGTAAAATGAGAATACAAACAGAACCTAACACAGGGTTGTGAGCCCGAAGTGGGCAAATGCGCGTGAAAGCTCCCGGTCCCTGTCACACAGCAAGGACGTGGCAAACATCAGCCACCCTCCGTGTCGCCCTCCGCTGAACTCCCCCTCCTCTCCCAGGCAGGTCTCCACTTTAGACTCCTCTCCTCCTTGGGTACCTGCCCCTGCCACCCACCCAGGGTGGCTGTTTTAACCTAAAATCACAAAATCGTGTCTGTAAGGAATCTGGAAATTAATCCTGTTCTTCACCTTGGAGGGGCTTCCCTTGGGGCTCAGCCAATAAAGAATCCGCCTGCAGTGCGGGAGACCTGGGTTCATGGGGTTGCAAACAGTTGGACACGACTGAGTGACTTTCACTTTGCCTTGGGGGGTTGTCAGATCTGCCCCCCGCACATGGGCTCAGGGTGAGAGCCTGTGCGCTGCCTGCTCTGGCCTGGCTCAGCACCCTGGAGCTGCTCCGGACAGGTGGGCAGCCGGGCAGGTTTGTCTTCCTGCTGTATGAGGCCCCATGCAGCCCAGCCTGGCCTCGCAGGGCGCCCCGGGGCTCATGCCCTCGTGGTGCTGGTGGTGAAGAAGAACTTGGCAAGGGGCCATAACAGGCTGGCCTCACGCAGGAGGCCCTCACGTTCTCCTTTCTGTTCTCAGGGGCCTAACGTGATGGAAGATCAGGACCTGAGGGAAATCGGCATCAGTGATGCGCAGCACAGGCGGAAGCTGCTCCAGGCCGCCCGGTCCCTGCCCAAGGTGCCACCCGCAGTGCCTCGGCGAGGGGCAGGGCGGGCTTGGGAGCCACCAAGGGGGGTCTGCCCCATCCTGGGACCCCCTGGGGAGCACAGTGCCCTGTTCACCACTTTGCCACGTTCCGAGGCCAGCAGAGCCCCAGGGACAGTGCCCGCCTAGTCCAGCCTCAGGAACGGGTCGCCTGGCATGGAGCCTGGTGCCCGCAGGCGTGGCCCGTCACCTGCAGGCCAGGCCCTCCCCCGAGGCCCAGGGTGTGGGGCAGCACAGGAAGCGGTCCTCGCCTGGGGAGCTGCGGGCGGAAGGCCTGAGCCTCTCCTCAGCTCTGCTGGTGCAGTCCCTGGTCCCTTCACTGCCAAGGTCTGAGGACGGAGTCCCAGCAGGGAGGCCAGCGCCCGCCCCACGCACACACACCGTCTCCTTGTCCCGCCAGGTCCACGACCGTGTCGGGCATAGAGGGGCCTCACAGACCCTCCTCCCGATCTGGCCTCACCCGACAGGGCACCTGCCCCTCTCACTGACTTCCCGCCTCAGCTGGGCCCTGATCCGGCAGACCTGGGGTGCCAGGTGGTCCCAGGTGAGGCCAGAGGCCGGAGCTGAGGCAGGGACGGCTGTGTGAGCCGAGGGCCAGGCCCCTGCTGGTCCTCAGGCACCATCCCACTCCTGCCCCAGCCTCCAGGCTGGTCTCCCGTGGCCCCGCGGCCCTTGGCAGCCCCGCCTCCTGTCCTCACTGCACAGGTGAAGGCGCTGGGCTGCGACGGGAACAGCCCCCCGTCCGTGCCCTCCTGGCTGGACTCACTGGGGCTCCAGGACTACGTCCATTCCTTCCTGTCGAGTGGGTACAGCTCCATGGACACGGTGAAGAACCTCTGGGAGCTGGAGCTCGTCAACGTGAGTGCGGTTCTGCTCAGGCCTGGCTGGTCAGTCCTGAGCCACGAGTGTCCCCGGCTGCCCTGGGAGGGGGCTGGGGGCCCAGTCGTCCCTGACCGCTCCCCGCCCCCCACCCAGGTCCTGAAGGTGCACCTGCTCGGCCATCGCAAGCGCATCATCGCCTCCCTGGCGGACAGACCCTATGAGGAGCCGCCCCAGAAGCCCCCACGGTTCTCCCAGCTGAGAGTGAGTGGGGAGGGTGGAGAGGGAGGCGTGTGTGCCTTGGGTTGTCAAGAATTGAAAAGAATCCTTTAGGAATTTCTCAGAGACAGTGGCACCTCTGTAGAGAAGGAGCAGCTGATCCCTCTCCTCCTAGTGTTGGGGTCAAGTGTTGGGAAAGGTAGGAAAACAAATGAACGAATCCCAAACTAGCTAGGCCTGTGTCTGAATGTCACGTTCAGCTGTCTGGGGGCTGCAGTCCCCTCGGGCGGTCTGACAAGAGCCGGAGACAAAGCCTGGAACACGGCAGGGCTGGGCCTTCCTCAGCTTCTGAAGGAAATCCGTGTGATTTTTAAAACCTCACAGATGTTTTGTTGCTCAACGCGGGTAATTTCTGACTGAAAAGCAGGTTAGACTGTGAGCCTGTGGCTCAGGATGACTCTCCCCAGACCGGCGAGGCTGCTGGTGGGCAGTGGGTGGGCCCTGGGCTAGAGCCTCAGCCTCAAAGTGGGCACGGTTTCACCCTTTCACACGTGAGGGAGCCAGGGCCCAGGCTGGTTCCGAGAGCAGACCCTCCACTGACATTCAGACATGGAAACCGAGGAGACAAGGGTGCCTGTTGGGAGCACAGGGTATTTCTAGGAGAGACCCTTAGATCAAGTCATGTATCCCCAGGACCTTTGGTCAGCCGTGGCAGACGGTTTTCTCTGAGAAGGTGGAGCGCGCTCCCCAGCCCTACAACCACCCCTCCCCCCGCGCGCTCCGGGCTGCAGGCTGTGCTCAGACCGGCTGCCCACCTGCAGGGCCCGGTCAGGGCTCTCTAGCTGGAGAGTCTGGCCGCTGTGACCGTGCTGGGCGCTGACGCCCAGCTCCTGCCCTTTCTCACCGATCCCTCCTGGGGCTGGACCCTGATACCGCAGCCTGAGGCCCGGCTGGGCGGCCCACAGACTCACTCCTCTCCCCGCTGCAGTGCCAGGACCTGTTCTCGCAGACGTCGTCCCCGCTGAGCCAGAACGACTCCTGCGCTGGGCGGTCGGCTGACCTGCTGCTGCCTCCTGGGGATGCGGGCAGGAGGCCGCACGACAGCCTGCACGAGCCCGCGGCGCCCTCTCGGGTGGAGCGCTTCAGAACCCAGGTGGGTGGGGTGCCCAGATGGGTCCCTGCACCCCTCCCGGCAGGACAGGGCTCCCCCTGCCTGGCACAGGCCGCAGGCTTCATCCCGCCTGCCAGCTGTGGCCTGGCCCTCGCTGGCCCTTGTCACCCACAGGGCGAGCCTTCGCTCCGCGTCTTTGACCCGCTTCTCCTCTTGTGACTCACGCTTCTCCGTTCTGGCCTCTGGGGAGTCCCCGCACCTTTGCACCAGCACAACTGTGAATTTCACAAGATTCAAAAAGCATGTTGTCTGGCAGTCTTGGTGACTCTGTATCAAGACTTTCCATACTGCTGGGAGTCCTGACTTTCCCCTCGTCCCCGTGCCTTCTACCCATGCCCTAGCTGAGGACCCCATCCTCTGGGCTGCAGTGGCCTCCCACCCCCCGCGCACCCTGACTCCTGTCACAAGGACCCCTATAAAGCACATCCGTAGCCACAGAGACATCTCCGCCCCTCCACTACCCCAGGATCAGATCGTCTCCGACACCACAGCGCCTTCCACCCGGAGCTGCTCACAGATGGGTGGCTGAGGTCCTGGCTTTCCCACCTGTTCTCAGCCTGGACAGGCCTCGTCTCTGCCCCAGCCCATCTGAAGGGCTGGTCTGCCTCTGCCCTGGAACTCCCGGAGGTGGCTGGCGGGCGAGAGCCAGGCGGGTCACTCGGGAGCCCCTTGAGCGGCAGGCTGACCTGGGCCCCACGTGTTCTGCAGGAGGAGCACCGAGAGGCCAAGCTGACCCTCCGGCCCCCCAGCCTGGCCGCCCCCTACGCCCCTGTGCAGAGCTGGCAACACCAGCCGGAGAAACTCATCTTCGAGTCCTGCGGTTACGAAGCCAATGTGAGTAACCCCTACCTCCAGCCCAGGGCCCCCAGGCTATTTCAGCTCTTCAGCCGTCCCGGCATTGCGGGGAGGGGAGTCACAGGAGAGGGCCCAGATCGGCTGGGCAGTCCCAGCGTGGAGACACGGGACACCTGAACGTGCCCACTGCTCACCCCCACAGTATCTGGGCTCCATGTTGATCAGAGATCTGCGAGGGACAGAATCCACACAGGACGCCTGTGCCAAGATGCGGGTAGGCTGTCACAGGCAGTGGTGTATTGGGGGTGGCTAGGATAGCAGGCAGCAGGTGGTGGCGCCAGCTGCAGCTGTGGGGTCCTGCCCTGAGGAGCGGCGGTGACGGGCCTTCCCGTTTGCTGTAGAAATCCACGGAGCACATGAAGAAGATCCCCACCATCATCCTGTCCATCACGTACAAAGGGGTCAAGTTCATCGACGCCTCCAACAAGGTGTGTCCCCCCTCCCCGCCCCTCACCCCTGCCAGCTGGGCGCCTTCCTCAGAGCGTCCCCGCCTGTGCCACCTCCGCCCCCCCGGCCCAGTGTCTGCCTCCCATGCACCCCCTTCCTGGGTCCACGGGACAGCTTCTCTTCCTCAGCGTGGGCTCCACTGGCCACTTAGCAGCTCACAGGCCTTTAACGCTGTGATGCGCTTAGTGAGGCCAGCACACCCCCAGGCCCCGCGCTTGGGCCCTGGAGGGCAGAGGGGGCTGGATGTGAACATTTTACTTCTTCAGCTGCTGTGGTCAGGGGTGGAGACCCCCAACCTAAAGCAGACGAGATTAGGCGCCACCCTCGACCCCCTCCCCCCCAGAGAGCAGATGAGGAAGTGGCGTTTGGCCGACACCCTGGGCTGGGACAAAAAGGTGGTGCTGGTGACAGGGTGCCCTCAGGGAGCCCAAGAACTCCAGAGCTGCTTTCCCCGCAGAACATCATCGCGGAGCACGAGATCCGGAACATTTCCTGTGCGGCCCAGGACCCGGAGGACCTGTGTACCTTTGCCTACATCACTAAGGACCTGCAGACCAGCCATCACTACTGCCACGTCTTCAGCACGGTGGACGTGGTAGGTGGAGGCCCCACGGCCCGGGCATTGCGTGCTGGCACCTGGCGGGCACTGAGCCGCATCTGTTCAGGCGTGAGCGCCCGGCGCCACCCCTCTGAGCAGCTCTGAGACTGATGCGCAGAGGCGCACAGCAGCTCCACCAGGGTTCTGGCCGCTATGTGTTCTCCAGCCAGGGTTGCCCCGCCCCAGCTATTGGCTGACTCTCCTGCGGGGCGTCTTCCTGAAAAGCCCCCCGCCTCCCTGTTGGGGACAATGAGTCTCCTTCCCCCGGAGTTCAGCTTGGGCTGCGCCCTGGCGCCGCTGGGCTGACGGGAGGTGTTTGAGCACCGCCCCCAGGGAGTGGATGCGTGACCCCGGTGGCGGCCCCGAGACGGGGCCTGTGCCAGCTCCCTGCTGCCCCCGGGTTTTCAGGGCCCCGCCTGGGACCTCTGTTGGTGCTCTGGGCCCGGCCACAGCCTCTCGGCTTTAACACTCACTGGCTTGTGAGCTAGAAACTCCCCTCCTTGCTCCTCACCTGCACAGGTGGACAGAGTGGAACTATTTCAGGGCTTGTTCTGAAGAGATCTCCCCAGATGTCTGTCCCTGTTCCTACGGCTCACCTTCCCTGTCGTTTCTGGGCACCACGCCCTGAAGCCACAGTGACCCCCAGGGCTCATCTCGAGTGAAATCACACACGAGGAAACAAAATGTACGCTTTGTTCAGACTGCTCCTCGGGACACACTTCGCTTCCAGGGCAACCATTCCCTGTACCTGTGCGCTGCTGCCGGCCTGTGCGGGGTCCGAGGCTGGGGGGCGTCAGGGCGGTGCTGCCCCCTCCCTCCTCACCCTGTGCCCTGCCTCCTCCCAGAACCTGACCTACGAGATCATCCTGACGCTGGGCCAGGCGTTTGAGGTGGCCTACCAGCTGGCCCTGCAGGCCCAGAAGGCCAGGCCAATGGGGGCCTCTGCCACTGAGGTGATCGAGACCAGATCTTCCAAGCCGGTGCCGAAGCCCCGGGTGGGCGTGAGGAAGTCCGCGGTACGTGGGCCCCGGGCCCCGGGAGGGGCGCGTGGTGGGTCTCCTCCTGCTCCAGATGCCGCGGGGCCGCGGCCGTAACCCCGCCCGTGTCTGTCTGCTTTGCTCCGCGCCCCAGGTGCCGCCGCCCCCCGATAGTCGCTGTTGTCAGTGTCACACCCGCCCCACCCACCGTCCTTCTTACCTCCCGCTGCCGTCTGTTAGTCCTGGAGCCAAGGTCTCTACACCTGCTGTGTGTGTCCGTCTCCCCGCGGGACCGTGAGCTCCTGGGGCCTCTGGCGCCCCCGGCCCCGCGTGCCCGTCTTTCCCGAGCTGCCCCCGCACTGCCCCTCTGTGCTGTGCCTGTCTCTGCTGTGTGTCCTCCCGTCTCCAGAGGTCAGGGGTGCCCGCTGTGGTCTTGCCCGGGGGAGCTCTCTGGCCCCACAGTTTGGGTTTTCCAAACCCCTTCCCTGCTTCCTGCTTCAGGAACCGCCCTGGACCAAGGGCCCGACGCTCGGGCAGGCCCAGGGACCCCAGCCGTTCCACGCCCCCCAGAGACCGCCTCCTGGGACGCTCCCGCGAGGTGCCGCTCCTGCTCCTCACCCAGGGAGCCGGCGCTCTGGCGGAGAACAGGGCACCCCGGGGACACGGAGGCCAGGGCGGCCCCTCTGACCCTGCCCCCTCCTCCCTGGCAGCTGGAGCCACCCGACACGGACGCCGACTCCCAGTCCCACGCCAGCGTCTCCTGGGTCGTGGACCCCAAGCCGGACTCCAAGCGGAGCCTCAGCACCAAGTACGAGACCACTATCTTCTAAGCACCCGCCCCGCCTCCGCCACTCTCACGTGCCTTCCGCCGCCTCCCTGCTCTTCTCAGCTCTCCTTCCACGCTGAGGTCGAGGTCCCACCCCCGCCCCGGGCGTCCCCTCCCGGCGGCAGCTCACCCCCGCCACCGGACACTGTGAATCCCTCCTTGGTCAAGGACGGCTTTGGGGTGGGGTGGGGGGAGGGCGAGTTGCCTTTGACGTGGGGCAGCGGGAGGGCGTCGGCGGGCGGGCACGCGGGATCCCGACACCGGAGGCCGCGACTCTCCCAGCTTCCGAGTCACACGCTGCCGCGAGCCTCCCGACACAACCAACCACTGTGACCGCCTGGGGCCAGGGCCCCTGCACGCCGCTCGCGCTGGCCTGCGGCCTGTCTTCTGCTGCGAGACCCTCCGCTCAGCGATGAGGCTGGACCGGGGTCAGCACGCTCTGTGAGGGCCCAGGGGCACGTGCCTGGCTCTAAAGCCTGGGGCTCTGAGCACCTGGAGTCTTTGTCTCGGGGATGTTGAGCTGCATGGAGTGGGATGGCTCCTCACGCCTTGGCCGGGGAGTGTCAGGCGGGCGGAAGAGGAAGGCCGCCTTGTGGGACCCGTAGGAGGGGGTCAGTGCCCTGCACCTTCTCGCGTCAGGACGGCGCCGCTCGAGGACAGGGACCTGGGCTGGGCAGTGCTTGCTGACGCTTCTCCGTGGCGTGGGGATCAGGGCAGTCAGCAGCAGGGAAGGCAGCGCGGAGGCTGTGGAGGCCGGCGCCCTTGGGGCGGGTAGCTCAGGTGGCGGGAGGAGAGCCACGGTTCCGTGGGGGGAAGCTCAGCTCGGAGTGCGACCCGGGAGCCCCGCCGCTCAGTGGCGGCGGTTCCTGTAGAGCCAAACCCAGTGGACAAGCCGAGGTGGGTCTCCTGCCTCCTGCCCTCGTGCCTTCCGAGCAGACGTCTGAGCCACGGAGGGTGCTCGGGGAGGCCGCGAGGGACCTTCTGTTCTGCCTCCCTGTTTCCTCTCCATCTCCTCCACTGTGTGCAGCCCCTCTGGTTAACCTTTTCCTCCCCCCGTTGTGTTTGCTTCTGCCAAGCTGAGCCACCGAGGAACCGACTGTGTTGCAGAAACAGCCGTGCGGAGCGCAGGCTCCCGCCACCGCCGCTGCCACCGCCGCCTCACCTGCGTTGGAGACCCAGGCCCACCTCCGCCTGCAGGACTCCTCCCGGCTGTGGGCCCAGGCCGCTGCCAGGCCTTGTGGAGGGAGCCCTGTCCCGGTGCCAAGCAGCCCTCCAACCTCTAGCAGATGAGACTGGGACTCCAGAGGCCCTAGAAGTGACTTGTCCAGAAAACGATTTTTAATAGAAAAAGATTTTTTATAAAATTACCTTTTAACACTTGGCTCAAACCTCTAGGTTAAACTGCCAATCTATAGACCAGTGGCCATGCGGTCAGAGGGCCTCTGTCCTCAGGCCAGGGCGTGGGCGCACGTGGGCAGCTCCGAGAGAAGGCGCTGGGTGAACGGAATTAGCCCGAGAGCCGCTGCTCCTTTCTGCCACACATGCGGCTTCTCATCCTCGCCTGGAGCCGAGCGCGGCTGTGGCGGCTTCCACTCTGTGTCCGGCGGGCCGAGCGTGGAGGTCGGGCCGGGCGGAGGACGAGCAGGCTGCTGTGGTCAGAGCACCGCCCTGGGCTGCAGGCCATGGGCCCACCAGTGAGTGACCTCAGGCCGGCCGACTCAGATCAGAAAGGAGAGGAAGCAGCTGTGTGTGTCTTGGGCATTAACGGGTAGGTCAGCTGAGGCCGGGTAGGTCTGCCTGCCTATCCGGTGTGTGATTTATCTAATCAGGTGTGTGTGATTAGGACTCACTTTGGTCTGACTGTCCTCCTTTCAGCTCTGGGCTCACCCCAGGCTCTGAGGGCGGAGAAGGCTGGTCGCAGAGGCAGTTTGCTCCCCCAGCGTGGCCTCCAGGGCCAGCACTGCCACCGCCTGAGCCATCCTGCTGGCCTTTGGTTGCATCGCCCCTCCTGGAGGCGGTAGGATAGAAGGGACTCATTCCTTGTGGCTGGGCCAGTTCAGCTGCGTGTCTAGCAGCTCCCAGAGCAGAGCCTTCCCTCCCCAAGCAGGCCGCCCCGCTTTGCTGGCGCGGTGCAGTGGGTCCTTGGGTCAGTAGTTCACGGCCTTGGCAGCACCCCACCCCCTGGTCGGGAGCTCCCAGGTCAGGGGGTGGGGCTGGGGGTGGGGAGCAGGACCACGTGTTCTGTTGACCTGAGTCGGGGCCCCCATGGGTTCCCTGCACCATCCACACCACAGGCCCAGGGGGTCACCCTTACTCTGAGATGGAGACAGGTGGTCCTACCCTTTCGGTACTAACAAGGACCTCAACACCAGAAGTCTGACTTCATGTCCTGCTGCTCCCAGGCCCTGATGGTTCTACTGTGCAGTATTCAGCCCCTCCTTCTTCCAGGGATGGACAAGGAGCCCAAGCTGGGTGGGGAGACTGCAGTCTGGCCACAGCACATGTACTGTTGTGCCCTTTCCTCCTGAGGAAGGCCGGTCTCCTCTAAGTAGGCCCCTCCTGGTGGGCGGTGGATCCAAAAAGAAAACTGTAGACACTATGATGAGTTCCTCAAGCTGTTTTTTTTTGTTTTTATGTCCTAGGTAGGTGTCTCCTCCTCTTGAAGCTGCTATATCTTCTTTATTTATTCAGGGTGTTTTCATATTGGAAAGCCTTGGCTAATCTGCTCTGGATTTTGTTTTGAGATTGGTTTATTTCTCAGTAGTCAAAAAGGGAGGGGCTAGATCTTTTTTACTCCTCCTCTGGGACAGGTACTCTCCCTTCCCTACAAAGAAATATTATAACATTGAGGACAGGCTTCACATGGAGGAGCCTCGCTTCTGCACGCGAGCGCAGCCCTGTTCTGAACCATGCAGGCCCTTCAGGCGGGACTCGAGAGGGGTTAGTACCTGCCGGGCTGCGGGCTCTCTGCTCCGCCCTCCTCCTCGCAGCTGCTCCGAGCGAGTGGGGCTTCCTTCCAGACAGGCTCTGCCTCTGCGATGCGCACACCCCTCCAGGGCCTCCAGCTGCAGCTCTGGGGAGTCCCTCCAGAAGCCTGGGGCTGAGCAGGCCTGTCTGCCCTCAGCCTGTGTAGGGGGGCCCGGGCCTGCAGGATGACCGTCAGACGCAATTCACAAAGTGTTGTTGCTAACGGTGTGGCAATGGGACTGAAATGTAATAAAATGTTATTTAATCTTTGTCTCTGTATTTTGATACTTGAATGACTTCCCCTTCTATTTTACTGTACATATAATTGTTAATCTGTCCAGTTTTGTCTAAATTGCGAACACCTTGTGGTACCAAACGTAACCGCCCTGTGCGACAGCATAGACTGACCTCACTACACGAGAGAATGTAAATATTCCTGGGCTTTTGGCTTTGGTTTTGTTATTTTCATAATTGTATAACTTAGAACAGACTGAATTAATAAATGAGAAGCGACATGAAACCAGCCTTACGTTGTGGAGTCTGAGTTGGAACTTTTCCTGACAGTTTTCCGGCAGAAGCGCGGCACAGGCAGCCGCTGGCTCAGGGTGGTAGTGAGGATCCACTCTGCTCAGCTGGCACCAGTCTGGGGAACCAGCTCCACCTGGCACTCTCCAACAGGAAGGGCTGCTGGTCAGCGTTGACCCTGCTCTGGTGTGAGGGCCATGCGGTCATCTTCCCCTCCTCAGGTTCGGCTGGTCTGAATGCCGAGCAGGGCCTGGGGTGGTCACCCACAGACGCGACTGAATGCCGAGGTTATCAGGCCGGATGGGAGTCGAGAGCTCTGGAAGGAGAGTCTCCTTCAGGAATGCATTCGATTGTGGAGGCAAAGTTTTACACAGACAAGGCCACACGACGAGGCTCTCCAGACATCCTGAGCTGTGGGGATAGGAGAGACTCACCAAGCCAGCTGCTGCCTGGGCTGCTGGTCAAGAGAGTGTTGGAAAGACAGACAACACTGACGACCCCAACAACCGTCCCATCAGCCCTCACCCCTGCCTGGGTATTGCCATTGGAGGAAACAGGCTCAGAGAGGTTAAAATGCCCACCCAGGGCCAGCCAGAGAGGAACCTAGAGACCCTCTAGTCCAGTGATGTCCAGCTGTCCTGGTTTGTGTTGGGCACCCAGGCCTGCCAGGCCACAGACCACACTGCACTTGACTGAGGAGGAGCCAGAGCTGGACTGCAGGGAGAGGCACGAGGTTGGTGGGGCGGCCTCACAGCGGGGGTGGAGGGACACATCCCACACCACATCGGTCCATGCTCCCATCTCTGCCCCCGGCTCCTCAGGACCTGGAGGCAGAAACGGGCCAGGAATTGGGCACTGCCTCCAATGCCCATGCTTGCATTGTGGACCCTGGACCAGGCCCCCACGTGCCCCATGCCCCAGCCACACCAGTCCCCCTCTCACAGATGTGGCATGGACCAGTCACCCAGGCTGTGGGGCTGTCAGGACGGAAGGTGCAGTGACGGGGCTGGCCTCGGTGCCTCTGGCCTCCAACCCCGCAAGGGTCCAGGTCCCCATCCAGTGGACGGGCCAGCGGGCCTTCTCAGCTCACAGCATTGGCTGTCAGAACCAGCAGCTGCGGGGTCTCAACTCCACTGCCCAGCACAGCCCCTGAAGCTCTGTGACTGCTCTTCTCAGGACTGGCTATTACAAACAGTTATAAACAAGCATGTACCAAATTAGAGAATTTCCTTAACACCATAAAATATCTATCATTCAGTAAATGGAGCTGGGACAAGCGGGTAGCTGTGGGGGTGGTGGGAACAGTGCAGGGAGATTTATATTGCTACTTATACCAAAATTAATTCCAGATGGTTCACATGTTTAAATGTTAAAAAACAAAAACCAACAAAGCTAGAAGAAAAAGTTTTTTTTCATAATCTTGGTATGAGAAAGGTCTTTCCAAACATGTTACATAACTGAGTTCACTTTCTTAAGGATACATATTCAACTACATTAAAATCAAACATTTCTGCAAAGCAAAATGCATCATTAAAAAAACGACTGAGAACAGTCTTTGCACCACATGTAACGAAGGACAACTTGACAACAGCTATCAAAAGTAAATCAACTTCCACTTCCAGGAAGATCGAGTAGACAGACTTTCCCCCTATTCTTCTTGCAAGTATAATTAAAACCCTGGCAGACACACCAGTGGGTACAAAGCCCAAACAAAAGCCTGCTCTCAGAGGACAAGAAAAATGCAGCCTGGTAACACAGCTTTTAGACATGAACTACTCTAATTCATCCAAGCATCACAGAAAAACTGGCCCCTCCTTCCACAGGCCAGCAAAGGCCAAACGGTGAGCCCAGATGTCCCTCCTCACCATGTATCAGGTGCCCTAACACCCACTGGGGCGGCATTAAAGGAGGCCTAGCTGGGAACTTGCAGTCAACCATCAATTAGGTGGTTCCTCTTAACAGGAACCAAAATAAAGATCTCAGGGGATGGGCTCAAAAGCAGAATAAACAAGAAAGAGAAGAATCCACAAACTAGAGAACAGAACAATAGAAATTACCCAATTAGAAGAACAGAGAAAATAGGCTAGACCTAACAAAAGATCAAACATATGTCAGCAGAGTCCCAGCAGGAGAGAAAGTGGGTGGGGCTGAAAGAGACCTCCACGCAATAATGGCTGAAAACTTCTCATAAACCTACAGAATCAAAAAGCTGAGCACACCCCAAGCCAGACAAAAAGAAATCCATGCCATCACAATTAATTTTCTGAATATGAAAGACAAAAAAAAAAATTCTTAAAAGCAACAAGAGAAAAATTACATCTTACCTATCGGGGATAAATAATTTGAATGACAGACAGTTGACCTGTCAACAGAACTGTGGAGTCCAGGAGGAAGTAGTATATTTTTCCAGTGCTGAAAGAAAAGAACTGTGAACCCAGAATTCTATACCCTGCAAAAATATCCTTCAGGAGTGAAGAAAAATCAAGACATTCTCAGATGAAGGAAAACTGAGGAACTTATTCACCAGCAGACCTACCCTAAAAGAATGGTGAAACTTCTCTACATAGAAAGGAAATGAAGAAGGAAAAAAAATGAACCTTGAAACATCAGGAAGGATAAGCATTAAGCAAAAACATGGGTAAATACAACGGACCTTCCCTCTCCTACTGAGTTTTCTAAATTATGTTTGATGGTTGAAGCAAAATCCTAGCACTGTTTAATGTTCTAAATGCAAGTAGAGGAAGTAGTTAAAACAATTTTATATATGAGGAGGGTGAGGAGATATAAAACAAGAAGATCTCTATACTTTAGTTGAACTGGTAAACAATGACACCAATAGACTATGGACAGTTATGTATATATATAATAGCTGGAGCAAACACTAAAAAAGTTATTCAAGGAGATAAACTCACAAACACTATAAAAGAAACAATTTTTTTTAATGTTTTCAAGAAACCAGGAGATAGGAAAGAGAACAATGAAAACAGAATAACTACTAGAAAATTAAAAATTAATTGGCAGACTTAAGCCCTAACATATAATTACACTAAATTTAAATGGTCTAAAAACATCAATGAAAAGACTGGAGATTTTTTTAAATGAACTAACTACATAAGAGACCCACTTTAAATACCAATAATATAGGCAGGTTAACAAAAAAGGATGGAAAAAGATATATAATACAAACATTAATCAAAAGAAAACAGTGGCTATGTTGATATCTTATAAAGTAGACTTCAGGCTGAGAGGGGAACAGGCAGGAAGGCCAGGGGTCTCCACACGGAGGAAACAGGCTGCAAGTGTCAGACATTTCTCTCTCTCTTAAGTGGCAAGAGGAAACAAACTGCAAGTGTCAGATTTTTCTTTCCCTTCTTTATACAAAATTAAAAGGAGTTTCTTTTAAAATTCTGTGTTGCCATGACGACACCTGGTTCCACCTGAACTTAACTTTTCTCAAACCTTGAGCTAACCAATGTGGTTTTTCTTAAGCTATGTTAATGAACTATGTGAAAGTGAAAAGGGAAAATGAAGTCGCTCAGTCGTGTCCAACTCTTTGCAACCCCACGGATTGTAGCCTACCAGGCTCCTCTGTCCATGGGATTTTCCAGGCAAGAATACTGGAGTGGGTTGCCATTTCCTTCTGCAGGAGGTCTTCCTGACCCAGGGATCGCACCCGGGTCTCCCACATTGTAGGCAGACTCTTTACCATCTGAGCCACCAGGTAAGTCCCCTGGATTGAATTCCTCTCCCCTGGAGGCCAAGGATCCCAGCATTTTTCACGACTCAGCAACAACCTTTCAAGAGCAAAGAAAATCATAAGAGAGAAGAGGGTACCATATAATCATAAAAGGTCAGTGCACCAAGAAGACATATCAATCCTAAATGTATGTGTACCAAACAACAGCAGTAAAATATGTGAAGTAAAAACTGAGTTGAAAAGGGAAACAAATTCACAAATGCTCTGGGCTGAACTGTGTCCCTTCAAAATTTGTATGTTGAAGCCTTAACTCCCAATTTACTGTATTTGGAGATAGGGCTTTTAGGAGGTAATTAAAGTTAAGTTGGGTCGTAAGGGTGGAATCTTAATTCAGTAGGGTTACTGGCCTTATAAGAAGAGGAAGACAGAAAGAGAGAGAAACAGAAATGGAATTTTTAAATGTTTTCAAGAAACTCACAGGGAGATAGGAAGAACAGAAAAATGAAAACAGAATAACTAAAAAATAAAAAATTAATTGGCAGACTTAAGCCCTGACACAGCATAAAGATGCACACAGGCACCAAGGAACAGCCATGTGAAAACGTAGCAAGAAGGTGACTGTCTACAAATCGGAGAGAATCCTCACCAGAAAACGAGGCTGCCAGACCTTGATCTGGGACTTTGTAGCCTTTAGAACTGTGAGAAATAAATTTCTATGGTACATTGTTATAGCAGCCTGAGCAGACTAGTACAACAAATATAGAGTTGAAGATTCAACTCAGCTGGAAACTCTGTCAACAACAGGAGAACAACTAGAGGGAAAATCAGCAAGGATGTAGAACACACCACCATCAACCAGTAGGATCTCGCCAGCAGTACAGAATATTCTGACCAATGACAGCAGGGTGAGCTTTCTTTTCAAGTGCTCTTGGAACATATATCAAGATAAACCATATCCTGGGCCATAAAATAAAGCTCAACATATTTAAAAGAAGTAAAATAATAAACAGTGTGTGTTCCTGAAACACAACAGAATCAAAATAGAAAATCAGTAACAGAAAGATAACAGAAAGTTCTCTAAAACACTTGGAAATAACACAATGTAAGTAATCTAAGAGTCAAAGAGAAATCTCCAGGGAAATCAAAATAACATTAAATTGAATAAATATGAACATACAACATATCTAGATTTGTGGGGAAGGGTAATGAAGGACATTCACAGCAGTAAATGCATACACCGGGAAAAAGGAAAAGGCTTAAATTTATAATCTACGCTTCTACCCTCAAGAACCTCAAAAAAAAA